CATTGCACCCCGGCTTGCCCTCGCTTGCGGGTCAGTGCGGGATGGCACGGCTGGTGTCGGGAATGGTGCTGGGCAAGGCGCCGGGAGCCATGCAGTGACAACGGGTTATCATACTATTTATCAAGGACTGGCGGAAAGAAAACAAGGTAATGGGGCATTTGGTGATTCAATTCGTTGAATTTGAACAAATCTTTTTAATCTTCCTCCCCGAAGGATTGGAAAGGTCAGGAAATAGACAGAATGTGCACTTTCAGGTATTGAAATTAAACTTGTTAAGAAATCCATATTGATTTGCACTTCTCTGAAAAATATTGAAGCCTCCAGATTTAGCCTGGGTATTGATTTTCTCTTCCAGGGGAAAGACATCGGCACGAAGGAAAGATATTACACGTGGCAGTAAACACCTTCAATCACCATCCGCCTGCTCTCCCTTCATAAACAAATGGCCCCGCTTCGCCCGGGGAGGCTGCAGACCGATCCCAGCACTGCGACACAAGGGCGCTCAGGCAGTTCTGCAGCTGCAGCTGCCTGGGGGCCGCGGAGCTGTCAGCCCCTGGCCGGTGGTGTCCCCATCGCCGCTCCCTCCCCTCTCCCCAAGCCGGCGTTTGACACTTTGCCCAGCTCGGCTGTGTGCCGTCATGGAACAATCTGATGATGAGTGCCATGGTCCTGGCCGGTCACTCGGTCCCCTCCGCGCGTGGGACCATTGCTCTCTGCAGCTTCCTGAGGAGGGGACGTGGAGAAGAAGGTGCTAGTCTCTTCTCCCTGGTATCCAGGAATGGGACACATCGGAATGGTGCAAAGCTGCACAGGGGAGGTTCAGACTGGACATTAGGAAGCATTTCTTTACCTAGAGGGCGGTCAAACCCTGCAACAGGCTTCCTAGAGAGGTGGTCAATGCCCCAAGCCTGTCAGTGTTTAAGAGGCATTTGGACAATGCCCTTAATACCATGCTTTAACTTTTGGTCAGCCCTGAAGTGGTCAGGCAGTTGGATTAGATGATCGTCGTAGGTCCCTTCCAGCTGAAATATTCTATTCTATTCTACTCTGTTCTATTCTACTCCATGCTATTCTACTCTATTCTATTCTAACAGTTGTGTTCAGGAGCTCCTCACGTCAGTGCTGTACAGGTAGCCCAACACCAAAGGCACCACTGATGCAGCAGCTCTAGGGGTCTTCTCCCAGCTCATCTAACTGGCACCGGAGGTGCTTTATACCACCAGCCCCGCAGCGAGCCAGCTGTGGGACCGACACGAGTTGCAGAGGTTGGAACCAAAGGGCAAAGGCACTAGAAGGAGCAGTGGCTGGAGTTACGCTGTCTCAGAAACAAGTAATTCCAGGTCATAAATTTAGCCTCCAGTAAGAGCAAACTCTCTGCTGTCTGACTCTGCGGCACCCGCCTGCCTTCTGGCACGGCACAGGGGAAGGTGACAGCCAGCACACGTCCTGGGGCACCTCCTGCTTCTTTTCAATTACTTAGAGGATAACTTGGTTAAATTCAGAAAATCGATCCTCTCTTTGAAACGAAGCAAAATCCTTTCCCAACCAATCTCCTGCCTCACTGGCCCTCAAGAAAAACACTGGCACCACAAATTGCCCTGAATGTGGCTTTAATGACACCTGAAGGCATCAAGTGTCCCACGTGTGCACAGGACACGGTACAGCAGCATCCCAGCCCCTGACAAATGGTTGCTCTGATTTGCTGCCACAATGGCAGTATTGATAATGATAACAACACTTTCAGTTACATTATCAACACTTGCCATGCCGCAGAAGTTAATTTATCTGCAGCTGGTCAGGCGTCTTCCTGGCAACTACCGCACCCCGATGTCAGAAGCCAGCCCTGTCCCAGGGTCAGGGACGGGGACAGCCGCCCATCCTGCCAAGGAGGGCTCAAACCGCACCAGGCACCGCGCTGCTCCAGGGCAAAGCCCACTGCCAAGAAAGGGGCCTCCTGCACGGCTGGGGCTTTGCTGCTGCTGTTGTGGTGTTTGGTTTTAATTAAGAAATGTACCCAGTTCACATGCTTTGCTTTGCCTGATAGAGACAAACAGGGTTTCTTACCTGCAGCAGTCAGTGACTCAGACAGAGCCTGCTTTCTGGAGATGTAATTCTGAAAAAAAAATACATCTTTCCTTTAAGTCACAAAGTGTGCACGTGCATAAAATCTAGAGGATGGTGACACCTCTGCAGCCAGGCAGGGCTGTTATGCTCCCACGGCAGCCAGGCTCTGGGCAGGGGCTGCTCAGCGCGGTGTCGGAGCAGCCAGAGCAAGGCTCCTGCCTGTGGCACCATAACACCTCCCGGGGCTGGCCCCACTGCGGCTAACACTGCCGGCACGGGGGACAGTAAATGAAGGTCTCGGTGTGGCTTTCATGATCAGAGTCTCTAATGATCTGCTTAAAAGCTCTGCTCCACGTACATCGATCCCGGCAGTCAGCCCATCAGAGTTTCCCCTCCGAGCATCCCTCCTTCCCCTTGTCTGGTTGGGAACCGTCAGTCCCAGGCCAGTTTCCCACCGCTCCCCTCCGGCGGAGCTGCAGGGCTGCGGGGCTCTGGCTGAGCACACAGACCTCCCTAGCAAGATTGCTAGATTAATTATCGGTAGGGATTTAATTTCAGATCTTTGTCAAGGACAGTCAGAGCTCTGGTGTGCGTTAACATGTTGATAAAGCAAACCCTGCATTTGCTCAGACTCTGTTTTTGCAGGGCAAGCCCCTGGTGAAAGAGGCGGTGGGGGGGAGCTGGGCAGGAGCCCTGGCAAGACTGGCAGCCACACACCAGGTAAGTTAAAATGCAGCTTATTCCATATTTTACACTGCCAGTCCTTTCACTACTTTGTTTTTAAATATTTCCCTAAGATCGGAGTGCTACACTTCCTCCACTGTTGTTAATACATGCAATCAGCAACTATGGCAATTAAGAGGACTAATTAGCATCTGAATTGGTCTTCTCACACAAACCCCCTTTGCAATAGTAGCAAATAAACAGTAACGGAGATGAAGAACCTGCACACAGTCTGCAGCCCCATGCAGCCGGGACCTGTCGAGGGGCAGACGGCCCTTGCTGGGGCTGTTTGAGGGGCTCCGGGAGGGATTTCACTCTGGCAGAGCTCCCATGCTGGGTTTCCCACAGCAACCTGCCCGTTATTCCCAGGAAGGATTAGGACGTGCCCTGTGACCAGCCACACTCCGGCTTTGGGAAGGAGAGCCAGGGCAAGGCTGCTCAAAAACGCACACCAGGCACCAGATGTTTCCCTTCTGCAGAGAGCATGACTAAATGAGAGCTCCGCTGGCCCCAGATTACCTGCGGCTGCCTAATGAGCCCCCCCCAGGGACTTCGTGGGAATCCATCACTTTTGTCAGAAGGTTAAATAAGATTTCAATTAAGTGACATGTCAAATTGTAAGACCAGCTGCTTCGAAACGGCCTCCATTTAGACAAGCTCTGATCCAGCGAGAGAAGGCGGCTCAGCGTTTAAAGCCAAACCTCCAGCTGCACACATATGCCTTGGCATTTAAAGACTGAACGCAACTCCTCCCTGCCAGCCTGCGACGTCCCCTGGCTGTCACACCGCGCAGGCAGCTGGCACGTCCCCACCAAGCAGCTCGGAAGGGATGGGTGCACGCTGACACCCAGCAGGCAAACGTCGAGAGCAAGCGCATCCGGGAGAGGTGCTCCCCAAGGAGGTCTTGCCGTTGGCTCCAAACTCAGCATTTCCCTGGGAAAGGGTTCTCGCTGTGGCTGCCCCAGGATGCCTGGCTGCCAGCCGCCCCCAGGGAGGGGATGTCATCCCACCGCAGCACCTTTTGGGGGAAACGGCTTTCTGAGCCGCTCTCCCACAGCGCTCGCCCTGCCGGTGCCCAGGCACGGGGGGCTGCACGTGCACACACACCTCATCCCCACCCCACGGTTCCCCGTGCACCCTGCACCCCGCCAGCCATCGCTGCCCAGCCGAGTCCCCCCCATGCAAACCAGGGCAGCACCGCAAAGGGCAGGAGACCGGGGCAGGGGCCGCGGGGGGCTGCTCCCCCAGGCCTCCTGCAACCAGGGAGCCCCGACCCCGGGTACCCCACACAGCCGCAGGAGAGGTCGAGGCTGCCGTGAAACACCGCTGAGACGCAGCACGCGGTTTTCCAGCTGCCCGCAGCAGGGTCAGTGCGACCTATTCAGCCAAGTAACTTGCTTGCCAAACTGGACGATTTTATTGTTATTTTTCTCATCGATCTCCCAGCCATTATAGAATCATACACCATCCACACGCAGCCCGCGGCCGGCGGCCCAGCCATCAACCCAGCTTCTCCTTCAGTACCACCAGGTCAAGCGTTGCCTCCTTGGTTGTGCCCAGACAGTAATTTGTGATTGCGTGTGTATTAATTTTAGGGAATTAATTCGTTTTCTTGCAACATTAGAGGTTAATTAAACGCTGGCTAATTGCTACCAGTCATTGGAGGAATTCTGCTCCTGAGTCCTTTCATGGCCTGAATGCACCAAAGGAAGAAAAAAGGAAAGAAAGAAGGAAAGAAAGAAGCCCTTTCAAGACCACAGAAAATTGCAAAAGGATGTTTCTTCCAACCCGACATGACAAAATTGAATTCCAAGCTATTTAATGCATGCACGAAACGCCATAGAGAAACCCAGCCCGAGCACTCCATCCATCACGACAGGGAAAGGGGTTTCATAACACGAGCACTTGCTATGGCACCGACTCAGTGCTTCAAACTCCGGACTTCCAGGCAATTTCGCTTAAATGTAACTACCAGATTAAGGATTCTCACAGACAGGGCTATCGCCAGCATTTCCATGGGACATACAGCTAAGGTAACACTGCGATTATGATCAACATTAATGATGGAGACCTCGGGAAGCCACTGTCCCGGGTGGTGATGGAAGCCCCGCTCAGTCTGCAGGGGCACCACGGCCAGGGTCACAGCGCAGCCCCCCGTCCCCTCCCCACCGGTGAGGGAGGAGCGCGGGGCTCTTGGTCCCACTGTGGGCACAGTGGCCTGGCCTGGCCAGTGGCATTTTGGGAGTGAAAAAACAGCCCCGTGGGTAGGGGCACGGGGAGCCATCTGGGTTTGTCCTTAAAAATGGGATTTCACGGGATACACCGTCACGAGGATGATGTCATGCAGCCTGACAAAACACCCCGGCCCGCCTCAGACCGGCGTGGTTCGTCTGTTGGCCGGGTTGTTGTGCAAAGACTCCTTGAACTCTTTGGGGATGGAGTTATGGACCTGTAAAAAACCGTGGTCCCGCTCCGAGTTGAGCAGCGTCCCCATGGTGACCTTGGAGGGATCCCTGGAGAGGGTGAACATGGAGATGTCGGTGGAGGGGATGGTGCTGAACCCCTTGCTGACGGGTGACATGTCCCGGGACCGGGGCTCAGTGGAGCGGGAGCTGGACCGCCGGCGGAAGCGGTACCTGTAGGGAGGGAGGCGGGTGAAGGCCGACTTCTTCAGCAGCTCCGAGTGGGACTTGGCACGGATCTGGCGGTGCTTCTCGATGTACATGTGCACGGCGATCACCCCCACCATCTCGGCAATGATGAAGGACAGGGCTCCAAAGTAGAAGGACCAGCCGTAGGAGTAGCTCTTCTTGGAGTCGCTCTGCCCTGGGTCCCCCGCGTTGGCTGAGATGTAGACTATAATCCCAATGATGTTGCTGAGACCTTTAGGGGAGGACGAGAGGGAGAGGCGCTGGCTTGAGCGGCAGGAGCGGGATGGGGGACAGCAGCACCCTGATCCCTTCCCGGCAGTGGAGGGACACAGGCTGGAGGAGCCCGGCCCTTCTGCTGCCCATCATGACCCGTGGGGTGCCTGGCAGGCGGGGAGGATGCTGGGGGCCATGGCTGCATCCCCATGGGGCGCAACCCACCTGCCAGCACACTGGGGCCAAAACTCCTCACAGACCTCTGCTGCTGTCCCCAGTATACATCTATATTCACATGCACCCAGTATATATGTATATTCATCTGTACTGAAGGGGCAGGAGGAACAACCACTATTTTGTTTAGAAAAGGGACATTTCAAGAGCTGGTTTTGCTTTGCAGAGTTGCGCACTAAGCAATGGGCTGCAGGAGCCCAGCCAGTGCTGGGGTTGTGGCCGGAGCAGAGCCAACCCATGGAGCACGGAGAGGATTCCTCGGGCATGAACCCCAGCTTGCTGTGGCCCTGGGAGAGCAGGGAAGTGGGAATGGCTTCGTCTCTTTTAATTTCTGGTGGAGCCCGGAGGCTTTATTTGGGATCTGGGCAGTTTTTGCACTGCCAGCAGCACCACAGGGCTGGGGAGCGGCTGATGTATTCCTAGATTTACTTAATGAATCAATTATGTTCTTTCTGTTGTTTTCTCATCTGCATCAGCAGCTCCTGCCAGCCGAAGGAGGGAGAGTAATTTGTCTCTTTGTGGGGAGAAGAAAAACACAAAATAGAGCAGTTCCTTGAGACAAAGACATTGTCATACGATAATCAGTGGAAGCGATGGGGAACAGCGTACAGAGAAATGAGTAATCCAGAAGGAACAGCCTCTCAAGAGAGTGATTTTCCTTCTAGGACTGTGGCAGCCTCTCTGCCTGCTGCCCAGTCCCTGGTGCCACCAGCACAGCACCTGCCCTCGCCTGGCCCTGTGACCCACTGCTTGGCGGTGATGGAGGGCAGAGCCCCCCAAAACCTACCCCGGGGCAGGTGCTCCCCCAGCGGGATGGCTGCGCTCCGGGAGCCCCTCCTGGGCTGCAGCGCCCGTGCGGAGACTGCTCAGGGCAGAGCAGGGTGGATGCTTAAAGTGCTGTCTAGCACGGTGACCACTTGCCAGAAACCTCTGTTGTTTTTTCCCTGCCATGAAGATTTTTCCACCAGGACAGGACAGCTCATGAACCCCAGAATCCCTCTTTGCCAACAGCCTGGGAGGACTCACAACCTGTCTCCATCTCCCCTGTGTCCTCCCACACTTCCACACAGGGAGAGCTGCCCCGCTCCCCACCCCGCCAGGCAGCTCCTACCTGCAGAGACAAAGAAAATGCCGGCGCTGAGGATGACGTTGTGTTTGCTCTTGTAGAACTCGCTGGCCGCCACGCACAGACCTCCAAAGAACAGCAGACCCACGCTGAGGATGGGGAAGATGCTGGATGCTCTCACTGCACCTGTGGGACAGGGAGGGGGGCAGGGTTGGCTCCTGGCATCGCTCCTGCAGCGGGGGCTGCCAGCACCTCCCGCACCGATGCCAGCGCCCAGAAAGAATTGTTGCAATGCTACGCTGGGTTGCTGCCACAAGGGATGGAGGGAGACCCAGCACTCATCCCCCCTGTGCATCCTCTGCTTGTCCCCAAGCTGCTCTGCTCCAAGCTTGCTCTGGAGCCCAGCATCAGCCCTGCAAACTCTGTGATGCAGGCCTCCCTTCACAAAAATAGTTTAAACCCTGAATTTCTTTTTTTCCTCTGAGGCTATTTCAAGGAATTATTTCTTCCAGTCTTGTCACACAGTCAGCACTAGCAATTTACCTTCCCATTACCAAACGCACCACCCACAGGTTTAGGCTATGGACGTGACTCTGGAGCCTAGGGATTGCAGAAACCCCCCCGATCTCACCAGGCTGGCGAGGAACAGTACTGCCAACCATAAGGGTCAGGAACCTGTCCCTTGGGTCCCCAAACTATCGCAGCTGTTTCGAAAGTCAAGAATTTATCGACTAACACACCTAAGTTCAACAAAAAAGTTGTTTGCTGATGTAGGGGAGGAACATTATCAAAAGGATCACAAAACCCAAGACCCCGAGCCCACCACGTGTGATGCCGTGACCCTGGCACTGGGCTCCATCCCCAAGGGGATTAGCTGCGGCAGGGCCTGCCTCTGTACGCTCAGGAGTCACTGACCAAGAGCTACACAAAGAAGGGTCTTTTCTACATGGCCTGTCAGAAGTTCAGCTTCCAAAATGACAGTAAAGAGTAATTAATGCAGCAAATCACTACCTGCTGCACTGAAAATACACTGTGTCTTGGTTTGGGCTCTCATCCCTCTATTAGGGCCTTTATTAAGGCACAGAAATACAGAGAAGCCCCATTAAAATGCCATTCTGGGGGCTTTAAAATAGACTTTTTGTTTTAAATGTGGGAGGGGGTGGGAGAAGAACTTAAACGCTAATCTACTAAAATTGCAAACCATTTTCATTAAATACTTTCCCCTCTTAGATGGGTGAGCAGAGCTGATGGCTCCCTGCAGAGTTAGAAAATGGGGAGTTGAGAGCAACATCTGGATGAGCAGCCGCAGCATCAGGCAGGGGCCACTGCCCGGCCCTGGGGATCAGGGCTGAGCACAGGGTGATGGGAACCGGGGGTCACTTCATCCCTGGGGATTCCTCCCAGCCCCAGCAGCTCAGAGCCCAGAGACACCAACGCCTCGAAGGCTGCCACGTGCCCCCGCTGCCTTAGGTTCTTAATTTAGGTGTTCAAATGAACCTTTTGCCATGCAGGCTTCACAGTCTGTCACACAAATGCGTGTTTGCTGACGTGCCGGGCAGTGCACGTCCATGTTGCTTTGCATGTCGGGGTGTGCGTCCTTTGTGTCCAGTGTCTGCCACCCTGCGCCTCGGTGCCCCAGCGCTCGCTCGTGCACGTGTCTGCAAAGTGCTCGGGGCATGGTGCCTCTTCTCTGCAGGGTCAGCCTCACCCCAGCGTCAGGTCCCCCCACGTAAAAACCCTATGGGTCCTGCCCAGAGGCTCTGCTGGCCCCTGAGAGCAGGAGGACTCCGCTTCTCCCAGGAGAGCTGCCAGCTCTATTTTCACTCCATCTCCCTGCACTCGGCTGCTGCTGGCAGAGCACACGGCAGACGCTCATCGAGCTCTCCTGGCAAGCACCAGCAAATCCAGCCTGGCTGCAGAGACTCGGGGAACAGGGAGACCGGCACGAACACAGCACCCCTGCGGTGCCGTGCCAGGGACCTGCGAGGTGCCGGTCCCCGGCCATCCTTGTACCCTGACAAGCTCGGACTGCGCAGCAGCTGCCAGGACCAGCTGCAGGGACAGCGAGTGCCAGACAAACGTGCCATTAACACTAGTACTGCAGTGTAACGCGGCCACGCTCGGGTAACCTGGAGGGTCACCGCTACTGTGCAGGGAGCCTGGGGGGCTGCAACCCGCTGGCCACCTGCCAGCAGTGGGGTGGACCTGCTGGCTGAAGCTCCGGGTGCTGGGGTATGGGGAGAGGGTGCCAGCGCAGCGTGGGGCAAGGGGGTCCCCAGGGAGCATGCACAGCTCCACCGCACCATGGGAAAGCAGACTCACGGAGGAGATACTCAGCCGTGTCTTGCTCGTAATCCGCATCCTCGGGGAAGTGGTCGATTTTCTTGCACACTCCTCGGAAGGTTCCTGGGGAGACACAAGCCAGGAAACCTTCAAACCCCTCTGCACTGGCAGGAGCGCTGCCGGACACGCTGCATGGGGCTGGCATGGCAGCAGCCGAGGAGCCACTTGGGCACCGCTCAGCATGGGGCTGTCAGCAACCCCAAACACTGCCCTTGGTCCCTGGGGACAGTTTGGTCCTCAGCTGCTCCTGCATCTTCCAAGCACTGCTGGTTCCCTCTGGTGGGGCTGCACATTTATATCTCAAACTAAGTCCTGTCATTAACATCACTGCTGAGCTGGGAGGAGATGCCCAAGCTGGCCTGCTCCCCCTGCAGCCCCATGGCAGGCATGGGCAAAGCCTCTCCGCGGTGCAGCTCCCGCTCCCCTCTCCAGCTGCGCGGTGCTGCGAGGACCTGCCAGCAGCTCAGCGGTGCTCAGCACGGCACTGCCTCTGCCCAGCTGCAACTGAGCTTTCCCCCGCTCCTTGCGTGCACCCATGGGCACTGCAAAACTCGCCTGGCCCATGTTTTCTCCAATGAAGAGGAGGCAAAACAGAGCAGGCATTTGCTGGCTCCCAGCACCCACCCAGGCAAACCCCTCATCGGTTTTGACAGAGAATCGATGCAGCTGTAAATAAACCCTCCCGGCCTTCAGGTCCGAGCAACACCTTATTCAGATGAACTAGGGAAAGTGCTCCATGGCTGCAGCCTCAGCCTCGTTCTGTGACGTCGGGGTCATCTGCTATCACATC